TTAATCACTTTCACAACTATAATATTTCAAATGACCATAAAGAGTTTAATTCTTCTGCCCTTTAATATCAGTTCTGTGAAATTTGTAGTTACTGGATTATGTGCTTTTCAAAAGTCACTATACAAATCATGCGAAATGAACACATATATGTATAATGAAAGTAACTAGTCGGGTCATTAAAGAAAATTAAAATCTGTGTCATTTAAGAAGTCCAGAATCTTTAGTAAAAGCAAGAACAGCTATTGCTTACTTTACCAAACATTTTATAATTAATTAAAAATCAGATAAAAACAAACCAGTGAATTCAAAGTATTTTTTTTCTGATTTCTGGTATTTCAAATGTAAGTAAACAAAGTTTTACTATAGTAATACTCAGATCTTTTCTGTATATGCTCTACTTCAGTAAGGAAAAAGGGCCCCTCAGATCCACAGTCTTGCTTGCTATCAAAAATTTTATGAAGCTTTTGCCTGGGCAATTAATCAAATTAATAAGCATTTATTAAGCTTCTATTTATTCACTCATCCATTCATTTATTTATTAAGTACACTATCGTAGTTACATTTTTTAAAGAAAAAGGTCACTGTTGTCCTTTTTGATGGAAGAAAATACTATTTTAAAAAACCCAACCATTTTTGTATAACTAGCATTTTAAAACAATTCAAAAAACATGTGGAAGACAAATGACATGGAAGACTTAACAATTGCTAAACACTGGGGGAGATGATGCAAAGTCAGTTGGTAAACATTTATCAAGTGCCTACCCCTGCCAGGCACTGGGCTGAGTGCTTTGAACACAAAGGGGCAAAAAAGTGCCCATGCTCTCCAGAAGTTCACATTCCGATGGGGAACACAAATCAGACAAATATGTACAAACAAGCTCCATACAGGACAAGGAGGAAATAATCAAAAGAGGCAGGCGCCAGGATTAAGAGAGATCGGGAAACGTGGCCTGTAGAAGATAGGGTTTTAGCTGGGCCTCAAAGGAAGCCCAGAGAAGCCAGCAGACAGAAATGAAGAAGGAGAACATTACAGGGGTGAGGGGGCAGCCAGAGAAAATGCCCAGAGAGGAGAGATGGAGCGTCTTATAAGAACATCCAAGAGGCCAGTGTGGCTGCCATGGCTGGGAATAAGGAGTAAGAAGACTGGAAGGTTAGGAGGAGGGCTAAATTATGAAGGCCAGTCAAAGCATTTTGTATTTGATCTTCCAGGCCATAGGGAGCCACTGGAGTTTTTGAATAGGGAAGTCATATGATAAATAAAGACAAATAAAAATAGATAAAGATAAATCCCCATTCTTGACCTGCCGTGGTTCACAATCACTCAAGGAATTCATAGGCCATTCTTTGAATGACCATTTGTTACATTACCTAAGGTATGTATTCATGGCACAGTTGTGTGTGTAAGTGATCTGAAGGATACTCAGGTAATGATAACATTTGTTTTCCTTTAGTCTAGTGACATAAGAGGGTAGAGGTGTCGTATAAGAGAGAGGTGTCATTGGAAAGCAAGTTGCAATATCACAAAATTTTGTAGACATGAGAAGAAATGATTAACTTCTCTGAAGAGCTGCCTTATGGACATGCATCAATATGTCCCCGTCTGCCCCAACCTTAAAAAGTTCTTCCTTGGTCTTTCCTCCTCTTATCAGTTAAATTCCTTGAGAACTCAAGCCATCCATACTAGCTGTCGCCGTTTTCTCTTATTTGCTCCTAAAGCTTCTGACATGTGGCTTCTGAACACTGCAATCCTTGGCTCTCCTTCTGTCTGACTGACTGGTCCTTCTCACCCTCTTTGGCTGTTTGTTCTTTATTCTACCAATCGTGGGTGTCCCCCAAGGTTCTGCCCATTGGCTTTCTTCTCTTTCGCCTCTTTTACTATCTGACTTGATGATCTCATCAGCTCCCATGGGTTCAGTCATCCTCTCCATGCAAATTATATACATATGCACACATATATATGTACGTATACATGTGTGTATATACATATATGTGCATATATATGCTATCTCTAGCCTTAATCTCTCTTCTGACTTTCAGTCACATAATTCCAACTGCATTTTGGAATACATATTGAACTGGATATCATGCAGACATTTTAAACTCAACATGACCAAAACGGAACTCATCTTTTCCTCCAAATCCTCTCTACCTCCCAGCTTTCCTATCACCCTCAAGGCCACTACCATTCTCCCAGTCAATCCTCATGCTCACTCGTCCCACAAAACCGATCCATTGCCAAGTCTTGCTATTTGTACCTTCACAGAATGTCTTGTATATATGTTCCTTTCTCTCCACTCATACGGCTACAACCTTAGTTCAGGCCCTCATCATTTCTCTACAGGACTACTGTAATAGCAAGTGGTCTTCCTGACTCATCTGTCCCCATTTATGGAACATGCAATTCATTCTCCACTTAGCTGAACTCCTAGAGAGGACAAGGACTGTTTTTTGCCTCTTTTTGTATCCCCAGTGCTTAGCACAGTGCCTGGCATATAGTAGGTGCTTAATAAATGCTTATTGACCATCTAAAACATAGGACTGACCTTATCATCCTCCTGCTCAAGGAGCTTCAGTGACTCCTTATTATCTCCAGAATCATCTATCCTTCAAAGCTCTTCATAAACTGGACCATTCCTACCTTTTCTAGCTTTCTTATGCCTCATTCTCAACCTTCCCCTCCCATTCCCCACCATCCAGCTTAACCCAGTCCCTAGAACATGACATTCCACCTCTTATCTCAATGCCTTTGTACTGGATGCCTGCCATGCTTGGAACGTTCTTCTCTCTTCCTGCCTCTTCATTTCCCTGGCTTCCTTTAAGACTTGGTATCCAGCTGCTAATACTTTTCCCTTACAGATTACCTTCATATACTTGGTATATATCTTGTACATGCCAAGATATTTACATGTTATCTCCACCATTAGAATTTACACTCCTTGAAGACAAGGATTGTGTGTGTGTGTGTGTGTGTGTGTGTATACACATGATCATTCATGTGCCTGAGCATGTCATTTCCCTGTTCAAGAAATATTGCTAATAAGCTCAAATACAGACTCTTCTATTGAAGCCCTTCTCAACCTAACTCCAACCTACCTTTCTGGCTTGATTATAATTATTTCTCTTTAATCAATAAGTTAACATTTTATTAAGTGCCTACTATACACCAGGCATTATGCTAAGCTCTGGAGATACAAAGAAATTAAATTAATAAGGCAAAAACTAATCTCTGCTCTCAAGGAGTTTACATTCTAATGAGGGAGATAATATGCAAACAAACTATTTCTACAAGATAAATTGCAGAGAATCAATCCACAAAGGGAAGGCACTAGCATTATTCTCTAAGAAGGTGGCATTTTAGCTGGGACTTGATAGAAGCCTGCAAAATCAGGAGGCAGAGATGAGGAAGAGAATTCCAAGCATGGGGGAATCCATGCCCTTCACAGCCTCCTTGCTCCAACGAAACAAATCCATACCCAGGACAGCCCATATTGCTGCCTCTGCATAGGTGATAATCCCCTGTGCCTGAAATGTATTTTCCTCTTTGCCTCTGCCTCTTCTTTACTTTCTTTCTTCAACAGATTAAGCAGCATTTAATAAGTACCAACCAAGCGGCAGGCCCTCTTCCAGGCACAGGGATCCAAAAACGAAATTAGCCCCTACACTTTGGAGATGACTTTCTAAAACACTACTGTAAGATCAGCTGAAGTACCACCTCCTATAGGAAACTTTTCTTGATCCCCCAACAGTCGTTAGTGTCTCCTCCACCCCAAAATTCCCTTGTTTACATTCTGTTATTTCATACGTATTGCATCGCTTCACATATGTTTATATGTGGATTCTTCCAATACAATGTAAGCTCCTTAGTGGAAGGACTTTTTCTATCTCCGGCAGCGTAGCTCAGTGCCCTGACACTTAGTAGGCACTTAATAAATGCTTGCTGATTGACTGATAGTACTTGGACATAGAGCTTAAATACTGATGAATTACAGAGTTTGTTGGTAATAAATGCAACTGTAATTTTTCAAAGAAATTCGTTTAAGGCTCTTCGTCCTTCTAACACAAGCCTCCAGCCTTCAAGATTTTGCATTTGAGTATTGGTTTTAGCCGGCCTCACATGGAGTTATTTCAGAAATTACCTCCAACGGCCCTTTTAGCTTGAAATCTACCAGCCTATGAACTTCCCAGTCCTGTGTTGTGCACAGATAGTGTTACCTTGGCAACAACTGGGCCAGAGCATCCATTTATAACAAGATTACTATAGACTTACACAAACAGATACATTTGAAAATGCACTTTTCTAGTGGGGTACCTCTTATACATCTGTATTTCCTAGGATCTCTACAGGATCAGTTAGCATTACCGCTTCTCAGATCTCCAGAACAGGCCGGGTTCCTATTACATATCCTCAGGCCACACCCAAGCTTTCTCTCATCTGTTGCTTGAAAATTATGGAACAATAGGGAGACCGAGTATCATTTGCTCTTTTCATCCTCTCAACCACCTTCTACCACAATCTCCCTCTCTCGCTTTTGCTGCATGGGAATGACTCTCGCCCGTCTCTTTAACACACGCCGGCTCTCCTGGCATGAAGTAATGGCAACTCCAGCGTCTGCAGACCTGCAGTCCTAACGGGACCACCAGGCAGGGCAGCAGCTGGGCCAGGCTTTGTTTGTCCCGGGGCTATTTCTATCTCTATAATGCTCGGCGCCCGGGACGATGCCTTGCACATAGTAGGCGCTTAATATTTGCTGAAAGGAAATGGTTGTTGAAATTTCACACCCCCTCCCCCCAACCGCTTCCCTTCTTCAAAACGAAAGCTTCAGCCCGTTGCAAAGAGATAACCGGTAATCCGGTCAACCCTGCCTCCTTGGCCCTCGAGGCTCCCAGCCGACCCAGCCATCCCACCTCCTTACTCTAGTTCATGCTGACGTCATCCCTGGCCTCCCCACCGGTGCGAGCCCCCTGCCTTGGTCCCGGGGTCTGTTACTAATGTCACTTACTAAGAGAGCCGGGACGATTGTGACGTAATCCTGAAGTTTCTCCCCCCCTCCCCAGTCTCAGCTCGGTTCTGGTGTCTAAACTGGTGCTCCTTGCGCTGGCCCCAGGGGAGGGGGGAAAACATTCACACACGCCCGGGGGAAGCACAGCGATGGTTTCCAGGACAACGGGGACGCTTCGGTAGGGGCGGGGCCGCCTTCTCCACGGGTTCGGGTTACCAGGGAGGCCAGGCGGGCTGCGAGTCTGCCCAGCTGGCCGGGCTCCTCCCCGATCTCGCTTCTCTCCCCTTCCTTCCTTCCTTCCTCCCTCCCACCCCACGTCCCTCGGGTATCGCTCCCAGTGCACAGAACAGGCATAGAGACCAAGGCTAGTCAGGGCTCAGAGTCCTCATTTATAAGAGCAGTTGCTCTGGGACAAGCCCATTAGATGGAATCAGCTTACTGGAGTCACCTTTAAAAAAAATTATATATATATGTGTGTGTGTGTGTGTGTGTGTGTGTGTGTATGTGTGTATATTATATATACATATATATAATATACACACACATACATACATGCATATATTTTATATATACATATATAATATACACATACACAGACACATACATACACATACACGTACTATATATATATAGATATATTTTTTTTGAAGAGGGTGGTGATCAGGACAGAGAATTCCCCGTGTGTAAACTTCCTCTGCTGATGTAGTTAGATATCTAATCTGTGACTTAGTATTTCAGAGCTGTCCAGGGCACCGAGAAGATGTATGACTACCCGGCACAGGCAGCCTGTGTCTGAGGCAGGACGTGAACCCTGGTGTGTCTAACCTGACTACAAAGCCCCCTTCAATCCATTATGCCTTGTTGTCTTATGTATTTCAATACTGAGTAATAACACAAACTTTTAGAGCAAACTGTAGCTCGGGGGACAAAATTTCCTCAATAATTTTACTTTGATTCTTAAAAGGTTCATTGAGAGGTAACAGTGGTCAAATTACAGGTGGAACCCATTATATTCACGTATTAATGATTAGCCCCCACCCACCCACTCCTTTATCCAAGGAAATTTCTTAATGTTTTTGCATGGTTATCTACTATTAATTGGATTTTTTGTAATATCTTGGTAGTCAAATGGATTTTTAGCAGAAATTATGCTTGAGCCAGGTTGCCATCTATAAGAAGAAAAGGTATGGTAAATTACAATCAAGACAATATCATTTATTTACCACCTACTATGTGCCAGAATATAAAGAAAGGCAAAAACCAGTCCTTGCTCTCAAGGAACTCAGATGGAGAAAAAAAAAACCACACATACAACCACGCACAAAAAAGATGCTCAGACAGGAGAAGTGGAGAATGGTTTCAGAGGGACAGCATTAAGATTAAATAGGACTGGGAAAGCCTTTTTGCAGAAGGGGAGACTTTAGCTGAGATTTGAAAAAAAGCCAGGGAAGCTGGGAAGTGTTGAGGAGGGAGAAAGTTGGCAAGATAATGAAAATGCTTCGAGTTGGGAGATGGTGTCATGTATTGAGAGCAGAAAGAAGGTCAGTGTCACCGGATTCCATTGTGGTAAGGTATAATAACACTGGAATTGTGATTTGATCCTGGAGGAAATAGGGAGCCACTGCAGTTTATTGAGTGGTAGTAGGGAAGACATGACCAGATTTGTCCTTTAGGGAAGATCAATTTGACACACGAGTGGAAGATGGATCAGAGATGGGAGAGAATTGAGAAAGGGATACTAATCAACAGGCTAACCGCAACAGCTCACTCAGGAGGTGAGGAGGGCCTGCCCACACCAGGCTTCTGGGAGTGTTAAAGGAGAGAGGGGGGCAAACAGACATTATTAAGGTAGAAACAGCAGGACTTGACAACTGATTGGAGAGGGGAAAGTGAGAGAGAATGAGGAGTCAAGGATGATGCCTAGATTGTAAGCCTGGGTGCCTGGAGGATAGTGGTACCCTCGACAGTTACATGAAAATTAGGAATAAAGAAGGGTTTCAGGGGTGGGGAAGACAATAGATTCCATTTTGGACTTCTTGATTTTAAGCTGTCAATAGAATATCCAGTTTTTTGAGATGTTTAATAGGCAGTTGGAGGCTATGACTGTAAGTTGAGAAAAAGATTAGGCTGGACACATAGATTAGAGTCATCTGCAGTGATATGATAATTCAGTGTTAGAATTTCTATTAAAATATTTGTGCCTGCTTTGAAACATCTATTCTCAATATATCTAACATTGTATTTAGTATGTCAAGGTGATGAATTGTGCTTATGTTTGCTTTTTCCTGTTAAAAAAAACTTTTTGGATTTGCTAAAGTGATGCTAATTACTACATATATCCTTTTTTTTTAAACATCACATTATATTTGTATCTCAGGAATTGGAGTGTGAGATCTTTAGACACTTTCCCCTTGAAGTATACCACTGGAAACTTCTGGAGACTCAATCAACAAACATTTATTAAGATCTAAGTGGGTGCCAGGCACTATGCTAAGAGCAAAAGATACAAAGAATGACAAAGACATGGTCCTGCACTCAAGGATTTCACATTCTAATAGGGGAGAAAACATGCAAACTGCTGTGTGCGTACGGCATACCTACAAGGAAATATGCATTTCACACAGAAAATCTTGCACTGTGAGATGAAGAAACAATCTCTTATTGCCAACTGAGCAGGAAGAGCCATTAGTTCAACGGATCTTTAAAAGAGAGTGGCTTGTCCTGCGTTCTTCCCCTAAGTAGATGACCTGCTTAGAGGAAGAACAGAAGAACTATCTAATCTTCCTGGACAAATGGGGAGGGATGGTGAACTCCCCCCATCCTAGCAGCATGGTAGCAAAAGCACCTATCTTGCCTAGATGAACCTGAGACTGGATCTCAGAACCTTATCTTCCCCCTTTGTTTTGTGATATTTTTTACCTGATTCCAGGTGACCGAGTAGGGATCCCAAGATGGATGTATCCAGGCTTGGAGGCAGTCTTGTGAGTCTGAAAGGTTGGGCCATTCTGGTCCTCAGTCGATTCTGGCTGCACTGCAGGAAGCATCCTATCTACATCCATTCCAGTGCTTCTTAGAGATGACCACCATCTAGAGGATAAGCCTAACCCCTGGCCTGGGTTGCTAGAAGACATGGACCTGGAGGGAATTATTTAGGACAGGGCAGAGCCACGGTGAAATGTAAAATATCTACATAGCAATATTGCCAACCTAATCATATCTTGAGGTTTTAAGTATCAACCTCCTGGGAGTATAATCATAGTAATGCTATTACTATTTAAATTTTTCAGTCAATACATGTTTGTGGGTCATGTTTTAAATTTTTTTGTAGAGGAAATAAATAGCTATCCTATACCTGATCTAAAATGTACATTGAATGCTGTTCTGTTTTCTCTTCCAACTGTGGGAAGACCCTAGACATACTCCAAAATCTAAGCATTAGGTTTTTTTTTTTCCTGGGCCTCTTGGGTGGAATTGTCAAGTGCCAAAGAATTAGAGAAAAAGAGCCTGGTCCTTCTTTTAGGTAATCTCTTACAGATGAACCTGGTTAGCATGTGCGCATCTAGAGTTGAGAGGATATCCTTAGTGGAGATGGAGATCTAGTTTAAAGGTAAGAGATAAGAGCATTCTAGAGGGCAGTAATGATTGTTCTGCATGGTGAAGCCTCAGAAAATTGTGGGTGTTCCAAGGCTTTTTATGATGGCATTACTGACGCACCATCAGCAATCTCAGACTTTGCATTATTTGAGGGGTTGCCAAATTTCGATCAATGATACATTTACAAGATGTATATTTTTGGTCATGGCCTGTGGCCATGCAAATGAATAAATATAAAGGTCCTTGGTAACAGGTTCTTAACCAGATGAACTAATTTTACAGGTGATTTAAATTTTCATGAAGATAAATATCATTTCCTTGCTTTGCATTTCTTAGCACTTAGGCAGCATATCTGCTTTTACTCTCTTTAATTTGCCTGTAATGTCAAAATTGACCTACAGGGAACAATTGATTTTCCCAACTAGGTTATGAGCTACTTGAGGGTGGAGCTTAATTCACCTTCTGTATTACCCACAGCACCTACGCTACAGAGTGATGTATTTAATGCTTGGTGAAGGAAAGATTTTAAAACGTTGGATAAATCATTAATTTTTTTTTAAAGTCTAGATTAACTACTGTTGAGTTGGGTCAATAGCATAACAATAGAATTTATTATTTTATTCTTGCCTAACTGAAAAATTTTTCTAAGACTATCCATGTTATATCCACATAAGTTATAAAAATTACTTTTAGATGCTATTTTTTTTTCTACATAGCTCAGAGGCTAAAGGCAAATCAATTATCAACTTACCATGAGACTGGGGAACCAAGGCACAGAAAAGGGATCAGTAAAGTCAATGGGCAGTGTCTTGCATGTAGGAGAAGCTCAATAAATGAGGTTTAATTGAATTGAATTTATTTTGTTCAGAATGAAAAAAAATAGAAAACCAGTTTTTTAAAACAACTATACTGTTAATTTTCTTCCATAAAGCAAAAATGGAAATACCACATTAATACAGAAAGTGTGTTGAGACAGAGAGGAAGTAGTGGAAAAGATTAGGTATACAACATGCAGGAAGAGATGAGCACAGTAGTTAAGTGTTTGATAGACTTAAAGGTAAGAACCAAGTATTTTGCCAAGTGTGAACAGTTGTGAAAACTGGGAAGAAGTGTGACAGAAATTAGGTTCAGACAAAAATCTTACACTGTGTACCTAGATAAGCTCCAAATGGAGCTCCGAAAACACATGAAGGGTGACATCATAAACAAATTAGAGGAGCAAGGAAGAAATTACCTTTCAAAAAAAAATAGGATCACAGAAGATAAAATGGACAATTTAGATTGTATAAAATTACAAAGTTTTGGCTCAAACAAACCAATGCAGCTAAAAATAAGAAATGGATTCAAGTTTATAAGAATAAGACCTATTCTCCAATTTATATGAACAAGCAGGTTTCTAAGGAAGAACTCCAAGCCATTGGGGGGAAAAATGCTCTAAATCACTAATAATGAAATGCAAATGAAAGTAACTCTGCTATTACTTAACATATATCAGATTCCCAAAGCTGACAAAAAAGAAAATGACAAATTTTGGAGGGGATGTGGAAAAATACACACATTAAATGGTTAGTGCAGTTGTGAATTGGTATAGTCATTCTGGAAAGCAATTGGGAATTATGCCCCTAAAGTTACACTGTATGCACGCTTTGATCCATCTG